GTGTGTGTGTGTGTGTGTGTGTGTTTGTGTAATTTTGCGTTTGTGTGTATTGCGTTTGTTTCCCGGGGGAAACCCTCACGAGAAACACCGGCTGTTGTTATGCCTGCTGTGACGTTAAGTTACTCCGTTCTCCGCTTGTAATTATGCCGTTACAAGCTTCAAAGTTGTATTTATCATCTGAATTTGCCGAAACAAGTTTAATATTCTGAAAGCCAAGACTTTGTTTTAATTGAAATCAGATGAAAACAAACTGTAACGGACCCTGCCGTGTTATTTATGATTACTCTACGCTTACATTCATAATGTCAGCCGGAGGGAGGGGGAGCGGCGCTGCGGAAGAGCAGATTGCCTGTCATCTTCCCTTTACAAGCTTAAAGAATGTATTTATCGTGTGAGTTTGGAAATAAAAGTTTCATATTCTGAAAGCCAAGACTTTGTTTGTTTAAAATCAAACAAAACACCCGAACCCCGAAAAAATAGTTTTTTATGCAAATCCACGTTTATTTTGAAATGAGCCGTTGCGACTTCCGACTGATTTCGATAGAGCGGGTCACATATGCTCTTTGTAATCCTGCTAGTAATCCATCCTTTTTAGAAAAAATTAAATACAAAATGATATAACGTAACTGTACGCCCATCGGATTTCAAATATTGCAGAAAATAATCTCTGTGGCAAACCAATGTTTATGATACTTACACCTTTTGTTCAACAGGATAATCTCCACATATTAACACTACTTTTATAATAGTCTAAGCATTAATGCAATCACCAAATTACCGTTTGGCTATAAAATAACTATATCAAGGTGACATGACTTCACGCCACCACCGCTAAGCTAAAGACGGCTGATGTTCGACGTGATGACGTTTAGAAGTCACATTTAGGAACTTGTTAACACCAGTGGGGTATTAACTGACATATTTGATGTCCTAGAACAAAAAGTGAACATCTCTTTAGTTCGTGTTAATCAAAGACTTTGTTACAGGCATCTAAAAAAAACACATTTAAAAAACCATTGACTTTGAGGGAACCTGTAAGTGCTGAAATGCTGAGTCATTTCCGGCTTTAGGACTTATTCCTGAAGAGCAAATACATGTTTTGGTAGTTTCAGGATGTTGACGAGTGTTTGTTTGCAGGCTTCTGACAGTGGAGGAGAGGGAACGCATGCAGAAAGAAGAGAAGTTAAATAAGGCGGACAAAAACATTGCGATGGCCATGGAAGAACTCATCAACTACAGGTAGCTGCTCTGCTAAAGTATCCCTATTAACACATTGACAGCGGACATGTGTGAGGATGCACATGTTAAGTCTCACCTGTGTGTCTCCCTTTCTTCAGACAACGAGCAGGAGAGATGGAGGAAGAGCTGGATAAAACCAAACAATCTTACCAGACTCAGATGTCAGCACATGAGAAGAAAGCACACAATAACTGGGTAAGTAACACACCAAACGTGAGCAAATAAAAGTAGAGAGATGTTTATTTTTAAAGCCAAATAGTTTTCAGAAACAGGTTCATTGCCAAGTAGGTTTACACATATGAGGAATTTCCCTTGGCGCATACATAAACACAGTAGAGAAGATACATTGCAAGAAGAGGACCACAAAACAATTATAAAAAACTATCTTGAGAAATCTATTTTAACATTAGAATATATCAATATTCACATGAAATATAGATACACCCGTTAAAATAAAATATATGTGCAGTATTGCTGAAGTGGAAAACTGGGCAAATATAACAGGGAGCTGGTACTGTGAAAAGTGTGCAGGGTTGTGCATGCCTGACAGTATTAAAATGAACACCATATTGTTTGCATTGTGTGCATTCTTACTCCATTTCCATACTCTGACGTTAGATCTGGGATAGTTTTTTTAGTACGGTTGTAGGTAAGCAGTATTTGACCTGCAGTTGAGGGCAAAAGACAGGAGAGCCAGTAGGAAGCAAAGCAATGTACAGCTGTGGACAGGGTGGCAGCAAAAGTTATTTTAGCCACTTAAAATAAAGGCCCACTTAAAATAATCAATATCAGTTAGTCAGCTATCTTTAGAATGCTTTTACCTTCCCTGACATTGATATTTTAGGCTTGAATCAATGTTTCTGCTCTCCCTGGCCACAGCAGTACATTGCTTAGCTTCCTCCTGGTGCGCCTGTCTGTTTCTACCGGGGTTGTACCGACTGTCATCCACTGTTTATAATAGAGTGGCGCAGTTATTATGTAATAGTGTAGGCAAGTGCTTCTCAAAGTGTGGTCCGTGAGCGCCCCCTAGTGGTCCGTGAGTATATTGGTACAATTTAACATTTGAAATAAATAAATAAATAAAAGTTTTCCACACTCTCGCGGAAATATCTCAGTAATGGAGCGAGCTTAAGTTTCTTAAGGTTCTTTCGATTGCATGATATAGCCCAGCGCAACACCTTCGTCACACATGTTGCCACTTGTTTGTACCATTTCCAGGCGATGTGTAATCTGTTCTAGAAAAACGATGTGTTTTTTAGGATTTCAAGAAGCGTATAAAACAAATAATGGATGTCTTTTATGAACATTTATCCATGCTGGAAGTAGATTTAGATGTTTTAGGAGTTAGATAGAGATTACTATCTAATGTATGCATCCGATGAAGCATTGCATGAAGTCTGTTGATGATCAGAGGCTGTTGTTGGGGCTGCAACAACGTTTTTAAATGTTTGTTTTGTAGGCAGACCATGCAGGCCTGCCCAATGGTCACCAAGGCTCATGTTTTAATAGCATGTTTACAAAAAAAGCCCACACGAGCCTAACACGTGAAAAAATTGTTTAGACCTCAGAGAGTTGAACTTGGGCCTGCGACCAAAGTTTTACTGTATTTTGTTTTGAAAATCCACAGCGGAGGTTTGTGTCGTACTACATGCAGTGTATTTTGCATCTCTCTCAGTTGCCAACGATCTGTGAGTCTGTTGGCTCGGACATAAACTCCGTAATAAATGTAGTCTACATTTCATAAGAGGTGTAAAACCTGAGAGCATTTTAAATCGCATTTGAACGAAATGCTTATATAATCTGTTGTATTTGTATTGTTGATGTAATGTGTGAATGAGGCGATATAGAGAAGGTTAAGCTGTCATTATTAGGCTGTAATTTGTTATATACTGTTGGAGTGGTAAGCAGCCCTATTGTTTTTGGATATGTGTGGAGTTCACGAGTTCACGAGTGTTTTTGTATTGATTAAGTGGTCCTTGGTATGACAAAGTTTGAGGAACACTAGCAGACCCAGAAGTTGGCATCACAAGGGCTCCCTCGACAAAAAGCAATGGGATTTTTCTATTGGATTTTGAAATATTGCAGAAATAAGATTGTTGACAAACACTCATTAATGATACTTACACATTCATATCTTAAACTGCACTGTACATTTTATTCATGTATTTTTTTCTTTTAATGTTTATTTTTATCTTTGCTTTTTAATGACTGTTTTTAAAGGCCATTTTCTTAATGTCTTTCATTTTTGTAAAGCACTTTAAATTGCCTTGTGTTGAAAGGTGCTGTACAAATATACTTGCCTTGCCTTACACATTATGATCAGCAGGATAATCTCCAAATATGAAAACCACTTTAGGATTTTTGAAGCATAAATGCATCGCCAAAAAGTACAAAGCTAATGTAGATGCATCATGTTCGCATTTTAGGATTTAAGGAATCCTTCCTGCAGCTCTTGTTACGGATAAGTAGTACAACGCCATTTCAAACGTTGAGCTCTGTATTCACATTACATCGAGCTTAACTGTTTGTTTAGAAAGTGCATTCATTCAAGTATTGTACATTTTGAGATACTAGATGCTACTTCTTACTTCTTCCCCACCACAATTATTTTTACGCCACTATATTTATTTGAAAAGATAGGTTACTTTGCTCTAGTTTGAGTACTTTAAGTATATTTTGATGCTTCCACTTCTCTACTTTTTACTCAATTAACATTTGGAATGCCTGAATTTAACTAGTGAGACAGTATTTATACACTGTGGTATTTCTACTTTTACTTAAAGGTCTCCTATCATGCATAATGCACTTTTGAATGTCCTTTATACGTAAATATGTGTCCCTGGTGTGTAAGGAGACTCACAAAGTGTCAGAAAACAAAACCCTCTCTCTTTTCATCCACGCCCACATCTCTCAAAACGAGGGTACAACGGAGCTGATCCAGATTTACTGCGGTCATGACGTAATATAACTGTGGGCTGGCTTTACACCCGCGTCAGAAACGTTGCTATCAGAAACAATGCGTAACGTGTTTTGGACGTAATTTGGTTTTTGTTTACATTAGCAACCATTGCTAACACTCAGAGCTAACCTGTAATGGAGAGAGTATGTGGAAATAAAAAAAGGAACTCACCTTGTGGTAAACCGGCAAGAGAAAAAGCATTTGAGCTCCACACTGTTTCAGAAATAATGCTTGATGTGGTTTGGAACGTGATTACGCTTAATCACGGAAGCATTTAGCTGTATCTCGTAGAATTCTGAGCAGGCATTAGCTCCCCCTCCCCTTTTTCTTTTTTTCAAGCTAAGGAACCAGAACATGCAGTTATCTAGCAGGCCTGAAATAGAGGGATATGAGGGATGTCTAAAATGCATGATCTGTTTGATATTTTGAGCTAAACACATCATAGGCATCTTTTTATATATTTGTATATGTCTGAGACCCATAATATATGCCAAAAAATAGCATGATAGGAGATCTTTTAAGAGAAATATTTGTGGACTTCTTCATTCTCTGTCTGTATAAATGTACGATTGTCATCCTTGTGACTGATCTTGGTTTTTTGTTGCAGTTGGCCGCCCGAGCAGCAGAGAGAGAGCTGTCAGACATCCGGAGAGAGAACGCCCTCTTCAGACAGAAGTAGTCAAACAGCAGATAAACTGTGTTCTGAATTCCTTAGAAACGTTTGAGATGTTTCCCGTGTTGTTTGTACAGTACAAACTGTGTATTGCATAGCCGGTTCTGCTCGTCACATGTTGACATTAAGTGTGTTTGTTTACAGGCTGACAGACACGCAGTTTAAACTCGATGCCCTCGACAAAGATCCCTACGCCTTGGACAGCCTGGCTAGACCTCTGCCGTTCAGAGGTGAGCACAAACACACACAGAAACAAACACATTCTCGTGTAAAGGGAAGGGAGTTCTGGGAAATAGCTATAAGGGAAATGTCAACAATGTTTTGGTTATCTCCAATTAAGAACCCACTTATACTATTAGGAAGAATGATACTTATTCCTTGTAGGGTAGCAATTATTAAACAAATTACAAGGAAATAGTTTAGAGAAAATAACTTTGCTAACTCACAGAAATGGGCGAGTGGTCACAAAACATTTCTAATGACCCTGTGGTATGATGTGATAATTAATGTACGTATGGTGTTAATGATGTATCCGCTATCAATCCTATGAGTACGGCTACATCCATACTTGCCAACCTTGAGACCTCAGAAATCGGGAGCAACCCCCCCCCCCCCCCCACCGCGGGCGGGGGGGGGGTTGCTAGTGGATCAGCGGAGCTGTTACATTAACATGCTCATTGTGGTTGTAAGTGCACTGCCTTGCGGCCTGTAGCACCTTCCTTGATGGAGCATATGTGTGGGCAGGAAAGGAGTGAGCAGAGGGTTGAGTTGTCGATTCTTGTTCTGTTTTCTGTGACTATCTTCCTAATCCTCTCAGACTTTCAGTTGCACGCGCTACTAAAGAGACGCGCTACCATGGAAACCAATAAATGGTGTAGCTGTATTAAAGTCTGAGTGGAAACAGTCGTGAGTAAATCTGATTTTGTCAGAAATCGGGAGAAATATGACCCCGGGAGGAAACCGGGAGAGGGCAATGAAATTGGGGGGTTGGCAAGTAAGGCTACATCGGCCCAGAACATTTCCATTAGGAGAAATGAGCTGTACTTTCAAATAATGATACAAGTATAAAAACACAAATGTGCCAAAACACAGGCAAATTTGTTTAACATATTCAACAACTTGACAACACATGGAGCAATTAGAAAACATTCCCCAACTCCATGAAACATGCACAGTATAAAAAAAGCGCTGCAAATAAAAAACGGAAACAGGGACACTAAAAAGTGATGCACACAGCTGGGACCGGAGCACTTGTTGACGTTCGGGGATTATAAAGTAACTTATGAGTTAGTCTGTTTCATATCTGTAAGTGTTTTGTCAGTATATTTGAAATGATTAGGTTAGCTTTCTAGCTTACAGCAGATCTGCAATAATATCTGAAGGAATCATGTGATCACATTGTTAAAATAAGACAATACAATGTACATGTAAAGTTTCCAGTGACAGTTGGCAAACGTTAGAATCCCGAACCTTAATGGCGTTTTGGTCCCAGCTGTGTGCGTCACTTTTTAGTTTCTCCATTTTCTTTGGGCTCTGAGCTTCTTGCAGCGTTTTGTGTATGCAGCGTTAGTAAACCCCTGTAAGTAATTGTTATTCAGTTTTTTTATGATGTGTGGAATGTTGTTAAGTTATAAGTTATTTGATGTATTTGACCTTTAACTGTATCTCATATTGTTATGGAGGCCCTGTAACCGTATCATTTCCTAAAATGCAAAAAGAAAACAAAAAAGAAACAAACGCATGCACACATTCCCT